AATAAAACCATTTGTTTAGTTCTGGCACCTGCTTTTAGGCGATAACATCTTCTCACTGCTGCTTGGTTATGTTAGAAATTACATTCCCTGCTCAGCTGCCGAACCCCATTGCTTTGTACGTGAGATGAGGCAAAAGCAGCGGCTGCTCCCAGGGGATGCGCCGCGACTGAGCCGTGCCCGTGAGCAGCCGCCCGGCTCCGGCGCACGCACCGGCGTGCCGAGAGGAAGCAAACGCAGCACATCCACCGCTCGTACCGCACCGAGGAACCGCCGGGCCACCTCCCGCGGCGGGGAAGGAACTCCCCACGTCTGCCGACCTACGTAACGCGATGGAACACCTGAGAGGAAGAGGAGGGAAAAGGAAGGAAGAGAAGGGGGAAATGCAAGAACTTGGTAGGCACGGTCACTTACCATCCAGGCCGCTGTCTGCTGAATTGCTCTTCCTCTCTACCTGGAATTCTTGGGTGCACGCAGAATTCCAAAAATACAACCCCAGTTACCCAGCTATTAGGGACTGACTGCTAGCCAGCGGGCACGGCCTGGCCCCAGGCACCCCCGGGAGCAGCGCTCGCTGGCCAGAAGCTTGCTGCCGCTGCAGGGGTCTGCCCGTGGCCACTCCTGCCCACACGAGGGGAAGGAGACGCAGCCGGCGCGGTGGAACCTGTGTCACAGCCGTCACCCTGCAGAGCTTACAGCTTCCCCTCCGCGGGACTGAAACAGAGCAGCTCCGAATCCTCGCTGACCATTTCTGTGATACCCATGAACTACAGCTCCCAGCAATATTTATCACGCCTTTAAAGGGGAACAGTCTTGTCTGAGACCACAGTCGCTGCAGCACCACAAAGACGTCCTGGTGCCGGGCAAGTCAGCGACCTGCGGAGCGCGGCAGGTTTCGATGGTCAGGATCACCCGGTTACTGCTAACACTTCCACAAGCAGAGCCACGCCGCAGCAGCGCTGGTGGCCCCATGGGTCTCGGTTCAGTATGTCTGGGCTGAGGTACAAGCTTAGTTTGAACCTTCTGACGCTGTTACGTGTAGGCCAGCTGTTGATCATCTTTCGTTATTGGGAGGGTAGGTAGATGGAGAGTTGCTTTGTTTTTAATTCGGAGCACTAACGTGTTTAGTAAGGACGGCATCAGTTTCTCAGTCTCGAGATTTCAAGAACAGAGACAGAGCAGTCTCTTCTCCGCTAGCAGAGCTTTGCTGCCCTTGGGGTAGATTGCAACTGAATCCAACGCACACGGAAACACTTGGGTTTCTCGCGCATCGACTGCTGGCATCACGAACACCACGCGGGTACTACTAAATAGCGAGCCACAAATCACGCTCCTCAAACTTTTTTTCAGTAGACTTCTCATCCTAGTGAGTTTTGTCAAAAACGCCAGGCACCCAAACGCCAAAAAGCTGTTCTCCAAGCATTTCCTTGAACGGACGGCAGAGCTGGGTAAAAGCAACAGATCCTGACTTTGCTCTGCTCGATTCCCGACGCGCCCGGATTAGTGCAGCTTTCCGGCTCGGAACGCTGAGCTCCCGCTGCAGTAACTGAGGTTGAGGCCTCGTGCAGCGCCGGGGTTATGTCTCTAACCTCAGCTTCCACGCGTGTGATACAAGGATGCTGACGCGTTCCTCCTCGTGCACTGAAGATCAGTTTGCTTGAGATGCAGCTGCAATGTAATTTTCTGGACAGTTATTTTATGCGATTGCCAGAGAACTATGAGTGACTCTAAGACAGACACGTCCTCAGGCACCGCCACTGCTAAAAGTCACGTGGCTGAGTAATCCCAAAGAGCACACATCCTGACGGATCCATACGGCCCCAGTTCTCACCAGTCGGTGGCCTTTTGACAGCGAAAGGTCCACAGCTACAGCTGAACTTACCCGTTCTGGCCAAGCTGGAGCTGCTTCTGAGGCTGTTGGCTACATCCCACGTCCCCCATGGTCTGTGCTTCAGTTTTTTCATCTTAGAAGCTTAAAGAAAATCTGATTCTAACATATGCGAGGAAGTGTAATGGTGAATTCTGATCCTGAAGGTAACCAGACACCATGAAAGGGAATTTCAGCCCAGAGCTTTCCCCCTCCTTACCCCTTTTGTTGCATGACCACAATAGGTCACTGGCGTAGAGGAACTGCACCAAACATTCTGAAAGAACATAAAAATCTCTGGCAAGTTCCAGTCCTCTGACAGAATGTTCCTACAGGGAGTGTTCAGCTCCTTCTTACAACAAAAGAAGCCAAACCCAGAGCGTTCTACAAACTTTGATGCGAGAAAATGCCACCACTGGGCAGGTGATGGGTTGATTCTACTCTGGGTTCTGTTCTCATCAGAACGCTCAGTATAGAACATTAATGTTTTCCCAAAGAAATACATGAAAAATACAATATCTACAAGAAATGCTCACTTTCAAAAAATCAGATGACACATTGATCGTACTTGATTAAGTGTCTGGTTTGCCCTGCCCGTATTACAGAGGGCCTCTTCTATTTTATATAGATGCACCATGCTGGGCTGGGAAGCGTTCCGAGCTGCTTTCATACGTACACTTCAACAAGCTGAAGTTAATGCTCCACGAGGCGTTTTTCACACTGACTATATGAAAAAAAAAAATAAAATTAAATGCTTCCTGCACTGGTTCAAGGGAACCCCTTGTGCAAACAGGCTGGCAAAAGGCCTCCCTGGGTATTGCTGGAACAGGGTGAGGGCTTGACCGAAGTGTTCGCTTGTTCGTGTCGTCAGAGAGGAAGAGGAAGAGGAAGAAAGGCGCCCAAGCACTGTAAGAAGCCAGGGAAGCAATACACGGGCAGAGGAGCAAGCCACAGACAAGACTAAAAGGATGGGGTTTGAACGATGTGTTCACCAGAAAGCTCGATCTCTGGGAAGAAAACCAACTCTTGGTCTGGAAAACAGAAAGATGTGTATACTCTCGGTAAGTATACTGGTCGTGTCAATGAAATACGTTATTTTTTCCCCCAACTTCTCCTAAAAGCAGCAAGGGTCTGAATCCCAGCTGACCACAGAGTGGTCTGCATGCACATCTGAGTGCCTGCTATGTGAAGCAGTCTTACACAGATAGAGCTGTAACTTCAGCGTCGAGATAGCATCGGCTTTAGAATGTACTAGAACTGAATACAACGGGAGAGTAAATGCTGACATTTTGCCAACTCCTTGCAGGCAGAGTCGCACCAGGACCCATTAACACCAGCTCCAAAACAAGCAGCTGCAACGACAAGAGGTTCAACCACCACGTCAACCACACAAGCCACGGCTCTGCTCTGAACACCGGTGATGTTAGGAGGTTCTGGATTTTGACCCCAGTTCCATCTTGTGAGTGGGGATGGGCCAAGCTCCAGCGGCAGAGGCAGGAACGACCACTGTCACAGCACGGGCCCGTGTTTCTGCGGGTGCATTCCGTTATGGCACGGGTTAATCACTGCCACTTCATGCAGCCACACACCACACGGTCTATTAATTATTACTTAATGTCACTACACTACTAAATAGCTTGATGAATTCCATTAGTAACGAGAAGTGTTCATGCAGCCACGTTCAAATAGAGCTTGTCTCTTCCCAGCGCATTCCTGAGGAGCCAGGAAGATAAAATACCCAGGCTCATCGCTCTTACCGACCAGGTGCGTTTCAGGTGGACTACAGCCGTATCCTGCGCTCGCTGATTTGTGGTGCTGGTAACGGCAAAACGCTCGTGACAATCCAAAATCCGAGCCTGCATTCAGCGGAGCGTCAGGCAAACCACTGCCCCTCTGCAGACACATTTGGAACCGAGAGAGAGGGCACCACGCCAAAGCTACCTCTGGTACTTGTCATTAGTCCAGAGAAAGTCAAACCAGAAGGAGATGCGTGCAGACACCAGGTAGCATTAATCTTGGCACCAGTGCTCAATCACCGGACGTTATGAAAGATTGCAGATTCCTCAAATAAGCTTCCAAGCCTCACAACTGAAAAAATTACTCAGAACACAGCGCCAAGTGGTCCTTAAGCCCCCATTACAGCGCGTTCTCAGCTTCTCGCCCGTCATGGGACACGCGCCTCTCCTCTCCCCCTGCACGTAGGGGGAGGAGAACACCTGTGACCGACTGGGATATCGTTAACAAGAGGATTTAATTGAGAAACATTTTTGCGTCTCACATTAGGTGTGGCTCTCAGCTGTGTGATACGTTCACGGGTAACAGAAAAATCATGCCTTACGTCTGCAGAGATATGTAAATGCCTCATTATGTTTAATAATTGTCAGAAGGGCAGCTCCACAGGAAAATCTCTGCTACTGAAAAATAGAAGGGACACGATGAAACAACACTGCAATGGTATCGTCACTGACCTCGAGGAGTTAATTCACCTGTCCAGAAATATTTTTATAAACATATTAATAATGCATGTTGTATTGTAAAAAATGCATGGATGGGGTACACCATGGACAGGTTATCAAGTAGCCCATGAAATTAGACACAGACTGTATTTTCAGACCTGAGCTCCTGAATTTGTATGCTAATTCACATATGGCAGCGGAAGAAAGCAGAAGGTGGAAGAGAAAAGGACGTTGCTATGAAACATGACACATAAAAGGGAACTTCTTAAGAACAACTTTTTTTCCCAACCAAAAAACCCCCACAAGTATCATCTTTGACAGACAAAAATCAGTAGTACATGACTGATTCCAGTGTCCTCTACAGCTAAAAACCAAAACCAACCCCCCAGCACCGTCCTGGGTGTGGCGGAAGGCAAAGTCTCCTACCAATGACCAGCTCTCATGGAGAGCTGCAATGTCCCACTGACGCTGACAGCCCAGCTCTACAGCTACTGAGGATTGTTCCAGTCTGGGATCACGATCCGAGCCTCACCTGCTCACGGCGAGAAGGTGGTCAGACGAACGGCGCTCAGCCTTCACACCAGCCAGCTACACATTCTGACACACACCGTTAAACAAAAAATTAACCAGTTTATTGTATTTAACATATTTACAAAATAGTACAAATTAAAGCACTGTAACTCCGTTATCGCATGACAAGAAAACCTCCATACAGGCAAAAGCAGCACACGAAAGACGCTCCAGAGTATTTGCGAAGTCTTTGGTACTCAAAATATAGTTTAAGATGCAGCATTAACTCAATCAATACAGGGCATTAAACACAGACGACAACACGTAGATTTATGCCACAAAAGCAATGGCTTTCCTTCTTCTCAAAGGCTGATTACCGGACTCGGGAATTGCTTAAAAGCTTTACAGCAACTTTAGGGTGGGGAGACTACTCAAAATTATTTTAAAACCAAGCTGCTGAAAGTGACTGACGTATTTCTCAACTCACATTGAATTAAACTGCCTCTTCTCAGAACTATATGACAGCAAAGCACTAAACACTTCTCAGGCCCTAGAGCCTATTCCTCTACCCTTCAGCAGGCAAAACTGTGGAAGAATCAACTTTGTCTACTTAAGGAATCCAGGATCAGGCTCCCAGCAGACAGTAAAACTGCCTGGCCAAAGATGGCCAAAGACAGGATACCCTAGTCTACACTGCTGTACACATCATTTACAAAATACGTTTTATGCATAATCTACATATTTACAAATGCTCTCAATTGCTCCATCAAGTAAGGTACTCAACACAATCACAGTTTACATAATTTTGAGGTAAATCCTTGAAAAGTTAGAGCATCAGCAGAGTTCCACCTGCAAGGCTGAATCTCCCAAGCGGAGGATTTCCCATCAGAAGATCCCCTCTTTCACCTGGCGGCACAGCGGCGTACGCTAGGCGTAGCGGATGGGCAGAACGGTGGCACGGACAAGGGGGATTATCGTGAATCCTCTGTGCTGGGCTTGGTTCTTCCTAACGGCCAGAAGAGGCCAGAAAGAAGCAGAGAACACTGGGGACAGCCGAAAAGAATCTGAAATGTGTCCTAGCAGATTCTGCTCTGTGGGCGAACAGTGGGTACCACATTCTTGCAGAGTGGGAAAAACTGCAGTGTTAAATCATGCAGTGTCTATGCACACTAACTGCAAGATGCCTACGGGAAAAGAGGAGAGGGGAAAGCAAAAGAGAGGAAGTGGGACAGGATGAATTCTTGATTGGTCAACGTTACCCTAGAAAGAAAATGCATTTGAAGAGCTTTATTTTCTTCGAGGTTTTTCAAGCCAGATTAGACATTAGCTAAACACTCAAATCTGCACATCTGAAGAAACCATCCGCATTTATTTTAGCTTATAACTACACTCCATAAACACATTAAAACACTGCCTCTCCAGGGGTGGACACCACCTTACAAGGGTGATGTTTCCAGCTAGGTAACCTAGACACCCTTTTCCTCGGGGATGCTCACAACAGGGGAACAAGACCACTCACTCACTGGCCTGCTGCTAACATCCCGGGGAACAGGAGAGGAAAGGGCACCAAGGACTCCTCCGGTTCCCTTTGCGTTACTCGTAAGAACACAAAAGGTGACAGAAATTCCTGTCCAACTTAGGAAAAGACAGCTTAGAGCTGGAAGCATCAAAGTTCATCCGAATCAATCAGGAGGGTGAGGTGAACAGTTTTGTTCCTGAGAAGTGACATCATCTTGCATTAGTGTATCTCCTACTGAACAGGTCTAAAATATTTATTTAACATTAATGCTGAAAATTTTAAAACTCGTCATGACTATCCTCAGTTGCAGCTTCATGGTCAGCTGCTTAAATGAAAAATCCTCACACAAAAAGTCTTGGGATGACAAAAAGGACCCCACAACTCCACTTTGTGGAGTTTTTTTTCAAGCAACACCACATCACTACACCTTTTTAAAATGTTGTCTTTAAACAGTTAGAAGATTTCAGCAGGCCCTCAAAGCAGTCAGTTAACTAATTATATATGCATGAATGTTTACCACACCCGTATTTTCTTCAGAATGTCTTGTGAATGTGCAACTGTTTGTAAGGTGATCAGTAAAGTAGTTTGGTGTCTCAAGACTTAATTCTGCCGACCGTGCCCACTGCAGGGACTGAGCTCTGTTTTCTGCATGCAGCGATAAGGAGCAACAAGCCTTCATCCCCTTGTGCCCTCACAGATGTTGGCTAGAAGAAAAGAGACTTATAAAATATTCAGCCACAGCCAGCACTCATGGTGTAGCACAGGGTGAAATGAAAAGGAGCACAAAGAAATCTGTTTTCCAGAGATCTTCTGGGAAGGCGAGGGCTGAACTTTGCACGGATCCCCAGCGACGGCAAGCGGGCAGGTTGTTTCTTGCACAGCTCTGGGCACGGTAATCACCTGGCAGCACCAACTTCTGTACAAATCCCAGCATTAAGACTGGAAGATTCAGACAGACAAAAACGCTGCTGTTTAAATACTTAACAAGACCAATAACACTTTGAAGACATTAAATTTTTACAATCCCTGAAACTGCTGGTCAGCAGAGGAAAGTTTTTAATTCATTCATCCTCTTCAACATAAGTTGATGGAAACCAGCCCACCTAAAAAGGGGAAGAGCAGAACAAAATAATACATGAGATGCACAGGTTTTTTTTAAATGGCTGAGCTAAGCAAAACAAGGATGGGTCAGTTCAGTAAATGTAAGAATAAGATTACAAAGATAAACTTGACTGACCCGCCACAGTCAGGGTAAGTACCCTAAATAAAAGAATAACTTGCAGATATGGAGACTTGGAGACTAAATCGACCACCACCACCACCACCACCCGAAAAAACCAAACCAAAAAAACCTTGTGCCCAAACTGGAAGTCTAAGCACTCAGAAAAAAGTCCAGAAATGCCAAGAGCAGATGTAGTTTTACTACCGGCAGGATGGTGCTATTTTCTGAATGAGCAGTTAAATGTTTAACAGGCTTCAGTCAGGCCCAGGGAATCCTCTTACAAAGGAAATACAGACTGATTTGAGTGCATTCCATGGAGTTAAATCTATTGCCACCAACGGGAGTTTTAAATAAGACAGAACTGGAAAGCAGAGTCCAGTGTTCTACACTTTCCAAGTTATAATGCTGTCTTCATTCCAAAATGAATGATGTGTCAACTAAGGATTGCAGAAGACATCCAGGGAAGCAATGTCATATATTTCTTACTGTCTTATCTATTTCTTTAGGTTTTTCACTCAGACTTCTTTACATCCAAGTCAATTTAACAATGACGGAAGACCTCAAAACCAAACCTAGAGCATGACTGGAAGGAGTAGCTACATAAACTTGGATTTAGGCTACCTGGCCGAAGTATCTCCAGAGGTGAGCTCATGGTCTCATGTCCAGGCTGTGAAAGCCGTCAGAAAGAATGCTAGTATATAACAGAGGGTCCTCTAGGATCTTGGTTGCTGAATTAGAATGAGATGCTCAATTTTCTTCACATGTAAAACGTACATAGGGTGACTGCTATTTCTTCCGCTTCCCTATTTCTTCTTGTCTAATTGACCACTTCACTTCAAGGTCATAACCAGGCTCATTACATACAAAAAAGTTCTCCAAAAGCAGTAAATGTGGACAGCTACCTCAACCGGACCTGCCACTTTCATTTCCAGCTTCCAGCTCATCTACTCTCTTCCACCTTGCACTCCTTGACCTGCATCTCAGCCCTTCAGACACGGCAACAGCAGCCTCAGATAGCCCCGACTGCTCTCCATTGAACAGGATGGAAACCGTACGGCCTTTGTAGGTCAGAACTGAGGCTTTACCTCCATGCCAGTCTGCGTGCAGTGGGAAGTGACTTTGTAAAAACCCCTGCTAAATGTGCCATATTTTTTGAGATCAAAGCCGCGGCCCCCTATAAAAGGGGCAGCCGATTCCACTGCATTGTAGTCTGGCAGAAAGGCGTGGAAATCGGTCTGTGTTAAACTGCTCAACAGACTCCCACGGCACCAGGAACCTGAGCCTTTAACCCCAAATGCATGCAGGCAACACAGTTCAAGAAAGTTCAGCTGCAGCTGTGCTATTAATCCTGGGTGCGTTCCAACCACATCGTCTTGCCCAAATATTCAGCCTGGTAGGTCACATCAAATAACCAATTAATTCAGATGCTGGGAAAGCTGCCTGGCAAGAGTTCTGCCTGGCTCCTATGAAACAGAGATGAAAACATGTTCTATCTTGTGAATTTAAATATACAAATAAGGTTTGTGATGTGGGAACACACTTTTTTTTTTTTTTTTTTTTTAAAAAAAGTCACTGTCAGTGAAGGCAGAAATGAGACAAAGGAAACAAAAAAAAAACCACCTTACCCTTCCGTTCACTTCACCTCTCCACCAGCCATTCGCGCTCATCTTGGTGTAGATTTTTACAACGTCCCCTTTCATTAGGGACAGTTCCCTCATGTCTCTGGCACAGAAGTCGTACCTGGCTATGGCAATGCCGATCACCTTCGGGCTCAGCACTGAAAGGAAGCAGACGGCGATATCAGCAGGGCTTGTTACTGAAGGCTACCCAAGCAATGTAAATAGCAGTTCTGTAAGATATAAAGCAATTATTTCACAGCAACATCCCCTGGCCTTACAGTCAAGAAAGTTTAAACACCGGTGAATGGTGTAAAATTTTATGTGATGTAATAGTTCTCTTTTATTTTTAGAAAAAAGTCTAACTAGATGAACCATAAATAAAATACCCCCCGCCCTGGAACTGCTAAATAAATTTGCAATTATTGTATTTTTGTGCTTCACAATAAAACTTGCGGCCAGTTACATGCATCAACATATTTTACAGGTCGCTGCTTTCTTTCCAAAAGAATTAGCATTTACAGTTGATTTAACTTCAAGCCTCTAATGAAGCGAACCAAACAGAGTAAGGCAGTGTTCTTTCAAAAACAACTCCCAAGTTAAATATTAATGCACTTAAAATTGGGAGCTACCATCAGCATGAGTGAAAAAGTAAAGAGTTTCCACGGGAAATGTGTGTGGAGCATTTGTTACCATCGGCATGAGCACTGGCTGATGTAAATCAGCTCTTTTCAGGAGTTTATTCTGTAAATCACCGATTAATTTGTTCTACAAAACTTTTCATGAAGTAAGAAAAAAAACTTCACAATTTTTTTTCCTAAGTTTCAGTGAAATTAATACTTAAAAATTTTCAGCCACATCACATACAAGCACTTTGCTGATGTAAAGCCCTGGCATTTTAACCAATTAAAAGTTGTGAAATATTTTTAAAAAGCAAACGTGAAAAAAGCCTCATTTCAAAAACCAACCCCCCTCTCCCAAATAATTTCATAGGAAACGATGTTTTTAGCCCCATGTAGAATGTCCAAACTCGCAAAAGAAACCCCCAGCTCTCCCCTTGGGAAGCGGGCCAGGCACCTAAGAGATGAAAGCGTTTGAGCTGAGCAGTTCAGAAACACATCTGCTGTTCTGTTGCGCTTTGCAGTTGGACGATTTGGCCGAAGCATTTGGGTTTTTTTCCCCATTAATGCCATTTTCTTTTGCAGTTGCTTTCCTATGCAGACAGGAATTTAGGAGCGCAAGCGAGCTTCCTACTGAAAAGATTTCAGAGGAGTTCAGCGATGATCGCCATGGATGACTTGCTACAACGGACACATAAACATCTGTTTTCTCAGAACCCTTTCCGGGTTCTTCGAAATTTCCAGTGGTCTTTAGGAAACACCACTAAGATTCTGGTTTTATCAAAACTTTCACAATGCAATACTAGAAGTTGGTAGCTAGTTGGCTTTAACTTAAATCAGGAACACAAAACGTGGCAAATGAGCTCGAAAACGTTGACAGTTTCAGCTCCACTTGTACTTAAGATTCTTCTGGCCCACTGGGGACACCTCATAGAAACAGAGGCTTTTGAATAATAGCATTAAATATATGAAAATCATTATAAACTCAAATATTTTAGCTTACAGAGACAATACAGTTTATTTTAAAATAACAACAAATACTATGTTTACATTATTACTAGATATATCGCAAACCCAGAATGCCTAAAAACTGTTTTAGCCACCAATTATGCCTTCTTTTATATCGTGCTGTTGAAGTTCAGTCCAACGTTTCAGACTGCTTATGCTGAGCACGCTTACCAGGTACTCGATACAGGGTGTACAGGATGCCATATAAAAGAGAACTGGCATCGCTATTTATTTCTTATATTTACAATATGAAGATGTAAAAATCTGTGTGATTTATTAACTCTATTGAAGTGCAAAGGCAGCTTTTCCCCCTCTAAGTCAGATGTAGACACTACCTGTTCAGATCCTGACATGGATGTTATGTCCTATACCTTATCAGGATTCCAGAAATCAGTTGGACAGGAAAAGAGCACGCCATGGGCAGCCATTGGTTTAGAGAAAGAAAAAACCAAAGCAAGCAGTTATTGATTGCAAGGCCATGACCATGTGTAGGTGTGCAGCGATACCACCAGCAGATTTGGGGAAGCATCGCAGGATGGGAGGAGAGTATCTGGGGAGCTGGGTGTCATTTCAGATTCTAGAAAAGAGATAAAGGGACAAGGAAGAAGATTACACGAGGCAAGGATGAACAAATTTGGGAAAATAGGGAAGAAAAGAACTGAGGAGGGAAGAAATGCATGGAAGAATAATAAAGAGTGAAAATACTGAGGAAAACTAGGCTAGAAAGAGGGGGAAAGGAGGACTTCTAACTCTTTTTAAAGTTGGGAAGCCAGAGAGGAAAAGGAAACAGAAGCAAGAGAAATCAAAACCATATATCTCCAAAAGTCTTGAGGCAGACAGTAGCAGAATTTAGGTTAATTTAGAATCCAGCGGCCGTATTTTCAAACAAAAGTGATGCTCACGATGGAAAATATATAAAAGGAAGCCAGATGAGTGATGGAATACAGCAGATAACAGTGCTAATTTTGGAACAAATATTAACCATATTTCGCTGGTGACACAGTCCCAAAACCAACTGGAGGCTATCCTGATCTGGTTAAAAGTGTCCCTGCTCACCGCAGGGGGTTGGACTAGATGACCCCTAGGGGTCACTTCCAACCCAAAACATTCTATGATTCTATCGGCCCTGAATTTCCAATCAGAGCGGTCCCAGGAGAAAGGAAACTCGAGGGAAGACAGCCAGCGTGTGGAAAGGCCGTCAGGGCAGATGGGAGAGAGAAGAAACACTGAGTGAGGGAGAGGAAGAGGAGAGTGAGAATAAGGAAGGAGAGAGAGAATGGGATTAAAGGCAGAGATTGATGGAAAGAAGGTGTCCAGCAGGAGAATGTGAACGAGAAATTAAAGAGGGAAAAAAGAAAAAGCAAGAAAAAATAAAAGCAGCTATTGAGAAAGCAGTAATGAATAAACCTGTGGATTAGGAGGGAGATACTCGGAGGATTAACGGGAAACAGAGGGAGAAACCCGAGGGAGGTAAATACAAGGTACATGGGTGAATGAGTAAAATATGCTTTTGCTTAACCCAGCCTTTCCTTCTGCAAAGAGGCGAAGAAAAGACAGGGCCCCACAGCTAGCTTTGATTCACACTAGAGTATGTTGGAAAAGTTTCTTACTGACAGTGAGATAAATGTGGTGCAAATTAATTTTAATACTCGTTTGGGCCACTGATGGGGGAGTGGGGGTGCAAGCAAAAGAGGCTCCATGGGATCACAGCAGGCTGGTCTAGCTCACGTTTCTGCCCATGCTTAAATTCCACAAGGGCCAATGTATCGTCATGAAAGCTGTGAGCAGTTGTGTCTTCCCTCTGTGGTATGGCCTCCTCCTAATCCTGCCACCATATCCCCCGAGGGCTGCTCTCGAGTGTTCGTCTCCGTGCTCCCTGAAGCAACGTACACTCGCTTGCGCTGTTGAACCAAATTCGATCCCACAGCACGGGCAGCACCTCCAGCAGAGCTCAGTCGCCGGCCTAACCCTGCTCCCGTGTTACCAACTCCCACATCAGCGGAACTAAGCCAGCTCCGAAGATCCTTTTTTCAAAATACTTGTAATATCATGAAATAAGTATGTGTTCATTTAATGTAAGCAAATACTTTGGCTATTTTTAAAAAGATGGTTTTACTAAGAACCTATGAAGTAATGTAGCCTATCTACTGGAATATGAAATTCCATTCAAACAGGTGGATAAGCTTAAATTAACAATTACTAATCAGTATTTTCCTTTAATATTTTGTACTTCTATAAAGAAATACTTTATACAGCATATCCTGATATGCGAGACACTGAATCCTTACTTATGTTACAGTTACTTAAGAATTTTCTGATACAGCAGTTTTCCTTAGGAGAAAAGGAATATAATTGTAATTTCTTAAAACCATATATGGGAATGCGTGACAGGCTTAAAGTAACTCTGAGTCTTGATTGTTGTTCTATCGCTGTAGGCCACGTCACAATTTTGTGTTCACGGAACAGATACCAGTTTCCGTGAGAATGGGCTTTACGATCAAGTATTGGGCAGCTGAATGACAGAGGTCATCGATCCTCGCCCAAGGCGGCAGAAGCTCACAGTATTTACCCACAATAAAGGGCCAAACCCCAACTCCTTCGTGTTCTCCAATTCAAACGAGGTGAGGGCTTCAGCCATCCCAGCCGAACGCCATGCGCACAGGGGAGACAGCTACACTGGAATGGCTTTCGATTAATCGTCTCTGCAGATGTGTCCCTTCACATAAGTAAGCGTCAGCTGGAAGGCTGCCTTAAAGCTTGATTCTCAGTCAACATTGTGAGTACTGAAAGGAAGTAGAAGTATCGTCCCCCAAAAAATTTGTGTGTAAAGAGACAGAAAGGGAAGAACCAGACTCCAGAACAGTGAGGGGCAAAACATTCAAGAACAGAACAGGACAAAGCGCACTGGCTGTTCTGCTGCTGAGCTGCCACCTACATCCTTTTTCCCCCCTAGAAACCACAGAAAGCCTTAAGAATCCATCTTGGAGCGCTAAGCAATTTGGATGGCCTCTGGGGGGCAGGTGCAGAACACACTGCCTGCTCAAACCTAGTCAGATCGTGCTCACGGCTGCACCCGTGTCCGTGCCCGCTAGACACCTCCCCTCCCCTAGTGCAAGCCAGACTCAAACCTGGGCCAAGCCCACCGCCCCCGTGCACAGAGGAGCGCCCATGCAACGCGAGTGAACGCTTCCGCCTCAGCAGTAGCAGCTCCTTCCATACGCTCCTCGCAGGCATTTGCCTCCCTGCTAGCAAAATTCTTCTGGAGTCGTCCAGAGGCGCAGCGCAGCTCACCTCTGAAGACTACGTCTTGGAGAGCAGAGAAGTTGTCGCCACACTGATGCACTAATCGAGACTACCACTGCTACTACTTTAAGCGCTCGTATGCGGTCCCTTCATTTAAAATGTTTGCATTTATTAAAGCCAGAGATGGTTAAATGAGAACAAAGAAAGCAATCTTTAGAAAACAGATGGGTAAAATTAATTAACAATGTTAATGCAGAATTTAAAGAAAGCATTTTCTACAAAAAACCGAC